TGGTGTAGATATATTTGTTTTAACTGCAAAGATTGTGTTCATGGGTGCAATACAACTTTATGGAATGGAATAACATATTTTAAAGAAGCTTTGAAACAGAAATCGTCCCAATGTTTTCCCAGATAGTTATTGGAAGTTGGAAGTTATTAGATTCACCGTATTTGTTGTAAGAGCGAAAGTTCTTTCTACCAGCCCACATCATGCATGTGTTTTTGAGTATTGTGACCACTTCTAGAGACCTTTTAAAGGCAAAGTAAAAGGACATGGGACAATTCATCCTCTGAATTTGACCCATCCTGATTCCACTAGGACGTCTATCAGGAGCAGTGGTTGTCGTAGTACAGAGCCTGGGGACCCATCTCAAAATGTTGATGCTCGGCTTGGTCAGGACTACTGGAGCTGGAGGATTTACCTATTGTGCATGTTTTTAGAGGTAGGCGAAGCTGGAGCACATGGAGGAAACCTATATAGATACTGGGAGAACATGCAAACTCCACTCAAAAAGTGTGCCACCTTATTTTATGAGAAAATTAGATCGTAGTTGATATGTGCTGACAAACACATAGAACTTTGTGGCAGTTTGTGTTTCCTGTGGGTTGGCTCAGGGATTACAGAGAAATTGACACCAAAGTTCCCATAGTTACCAGGAAAGATGTTCAGCTGAGACTTCACACAGGTTGATCTAAAATATAGGAAAGTGCAAAAACAGACGGATTCAAAGTCTCAACTAGAAGCCAGGTGAGATGCCAAAGTACTTTTACCAGTCTGTGTCAGAATGCAAGAAACTAATGTTGTGTTAAACTTTGATCTGTTAGTCAGATTAGAAGCTGAGCATTGTGGGGTCGGGTTAGTTCTGTGATGGGAGACCTATGGGAACAGATATTGCAGTGGGAAACTTTCCCTGTATGAGTCTATACATACTGCAGTAAGCAAGGCAAAATTAAATGTTTTGCACAGTTCATACACAAGGCAAATCAAAGTGCTTAAACAAACAAGATGGAGACAATCGCACAAGGCATAAATAATCACAGTACATTAAAAAGTTAAAATACAATCCTTTAATTCAGCTACTGATCTGATTTATTTCATACATTACCACTGGATAATAAAATGTTTTGTAAAGCGCTTGTTGCGGTATCAACAAGTCTCATAATACATTTGTTCTGTCCCCATGTACAGTAATCATCATTTCTGTGTTGCTCCTAAACCCAATTCTGTTCTCTATAATATGAAAATCAATGTGGCTTTTAATCAAATATACAGTTCATACTAAATGTTTAGATTGAACTCATGCAAAAAGCTGAGAAAAGTCAATGTTACTTCTCCTTTAAAGTCTTTTTGGGCACCCATTATATTCAGAAAGAAAAAATGTGGAATCATGAGGTAAGGAATAAACTATGTAGAAGACTGTAAGAACATTTGTAACTTCCATCTGATGCTAACACAACCTGACAGTCTTGAAATAAAAAAATGTTTCCAGTCAAAATGTTTTTTTAATCGTGCTAATGCATTATTTATTCATTTTCCCCTCAATCTGAGTATTTAGTTTTATTTTAGAATAACCAATACAAATGTTTTTCCTTTTGCAAATGGCTTAATTACAAAAACAGGTCAGTTGTTATTCCTGCAGAGTTAAGAAACCTCTTTTCAAGCAGTTTGTATTTTTTCAATGTTAAATATATCCATTAGTTGCAGACACGCATTGTTGGTATGTTTCTGAATGTTTGAGCCACACATTCAGTACACGTTCATTTGTATAACCCTAAATCCCATCTTCAGTCGTCTCAGAAGACTTGTCAAAGTTATCGATTCACGAACAGATCAAAGAATCAAACGGAGAAAATGCAATGCAATGTTAAACACATTGGAGCCATTGGTCCATAGGCATATTAAAAACTTCAAACTTTGATATAAGGGTAAAATATTGAACATATGTGTCTGAAAATGTGTTTATGATAATTCAATTCAATAATATGGGCTACTATGGCATGTGTTACATCATTGTAAAGCCATTTCCGTCAATACAAATAACTATGTAATATATTATATCTAAACATTTAACCCAGGGCACAATTAATAACAGTAATGAAGCATGAAATCATTTTTAAGAAATCTCAAGGTGGATAAAAGGAATCCATCCATTTCTGGGTCGGGGGGGGGGGGTGGCAGTCAGAGCACCAGCCCCTCACTGATCCTCCTGCAGGTGGTGAGTCCACAGGAGCTGAGATCTTTCAGCGGGGGCTTCAGGCAAAGTGGGGTTAAGTGTCTTGCCCAAGGACACAACAACAGCAGACATCAGTAGGAGTCGTGATGTAGGTCTTGTCGCCTGAAAGGGATCATTTGGTCAAAATACCAACATAAGAAATCACAATTAAAACAAAAATACTTTACGCAAATGATGAGTTGTATATATATTTTAAAAAAAACTTTCCACAAAGACCTCTAGCAGTATATAAATATATCCTCAGAGCAGTTGTGAATGAGTACCCTCTACTTGAGACCAGCTGTCTCAGCTTGCGAGGGGTCACGCAGAGCAGAAAAGGTTGGGAACCACTGCATCACATTCTATACAACCTTCAACATATTAATTGTGAGGGAAACCTAGGATTTGGGTTGATTTGACAGTATGTCCTTTTCAAGTTATTTCACTTTCATTTTGCATGGATTTGTTTCTGCACAAAGAAACAATCGAGTGTTTACGTATTTGTGGTATTGAAGGCGTGAGGTTTCGCCACCCTGTGAACTTAATCGTGCATTCCCTCTGATCCGACCTGCCTTCTCTTTGAGCCGCTTATTAGTGGAATATATGCTCAGAGTAAACGCCGCTCCTGTGTTTAGATCTTGTCAGATTTTTTCTCTGGGTGTGTTATTTATTTTGATCGAAGTTTTCAAGTCAGAAGATGAGACATGCATCTGTTTTCGCAGCTCAACTTTACGGTTCACTGAGAGTTCTGGAGCAACTTTCTCTTCTCCCTGTAGTGAATCTTTCAGCCAGTATTACACATTTATTTTCGCTACATCTGCCAACTTAGAGTAACAGGGAACAAGCTGCAAACTTTTACGGCATCTGGGATGTATAATTGAGAAAAGTAACACTTCAGTTATACAAATTACAATTAATCGCATTTGCCTGGAAGTGTTTATTCATTATTTAACAGATGCCATTGAATAGAGGGATGCATTGAGAGATTACAATTGGAAAAAGGCACATCAGTTTTGTTACTAGCCCCATCAATTCTTCACAAATGTGTTGTGTTTGCTACAAAAGGGTCACATGGTTGAAGAAATAACAATGCATTCTAAAGACTAGACTTCTAAAGACAGTTGGATATGGTAGTTTTTCTTCGCTCAAGCATTTCCAAGTTTCAGATTGAGTCATGTACATTATTTAGCAGTTTTGGACACAGTATGGCTCTTTATGCTATGGTCTGTATTTTTGTATTTTGGTAGTTTTGTATAGCCGTCCATTAATGTCTAATACCATACAACTAAGTATTCAACACTTTGAGTCTGGAAAGGCTTGTTTTTAAGTGTCTCACCCAACAACACAATGGCAATGGAAGAAGGGCTAGAATCTGACTCTGAATCAGATGTATAGATACAATGGCATTTGGTTTCATAGCTAGAGAGAACTTACTTTTTTAGTCTTTATGGATATGTTTAGATGCTTGGAGGATAAAGTTGTGTTGTATTACTGGACATATGACGACAACTAGTCTTTCATTCAGTATGGAGTTAAACAGCTGTAGATGAGGGAAGTACATGTGAAGAAAATGACAAAAGTTGTGGAGGTCTTGGAAGTGTGTCAGACAAACAAAACAGCCCAGCTTTCACATGGTTTTATACCCAGACAGAACAAGGCAAGGCAAGGCAAGTTTATTTATACAGCACAATTCATACACAAGGCAATTCAAAGTACTGAACAAAACAAGAAAGCATTAAAATCATAAATAATCACAGAACATTAAAAAGAAAGATACAAATATAAAATCCCTCAGTTGTATGCACAGCTAAACAGAACTCCCCTCAGTATCTGCCACGGTGCCAATAGATATGTTTGCTTTGACCTTCAGATTTAACCAAAACATGGAAATTGCAAGAAGATCTGTAGATGGTCTTTCTACTGGACTAGAGCAGAGAAAATGGTCCGAACCAAACGGGTACTCCACCTTTTGACCTGTCCTGCTCCACCCAGAGGCTACTCCACCTCTGCTGCTGTGACCGTCCTGCTCCACCCAGAGGCTACTCCATCTGTGCTGCTGTGACCCGTCCTGCTCCACCCACAGGCTACTCCACCTCTGCTGCTGTGACCTGAAGGGCTGTTACTGATTATTACTATTGTTAGCTTTTTAGAATGATCAATTTTATTTTTATTTTTGCTGCTATTAGACACCTGAATTTCTCCGACGGGGATCAATAAAGTATCTATCTATATATATACTGTAGTATCATTTGGTTGTTCCAAGCTGATCTGCAGACACTTACTGGTCATTGGTTTTACTGCATTCTAAACTATTGTTCTCAACAGTAGACAGTGGTTATCAGAGGGCAATTGTCTTCCAACGTATTCACTGTTGCTTGCTAAAATGTCATTAACATCTTATTGGCAAAGATAGTCTCCATTCTGTACATCAAAAGAAAAACATAAAAGTAAGACATTGCATCCAAGTGTATGATAGTTCCTTTTACATTTTCCACGAGGTGTACAACCAAACCATTGCAATCCGACTTCAAAGCTTAAAAACCAAGCTATCGCCCGCAATTATAAGTGTGTTTTTTTTATTTCCTTGCGAGAATATCAAACCTCTCATCTCAATCGCACTACAAATATAGTGTGGCACGTATTTTTTCCCCCCATTGGTTTAAAATAGAAAAGCCATTAGTGCGGTTGTAGCTTCAGATATGCAAATGAAGCCCAGCCTTTGAGGTCAGCGGGACCCAGACGCAACCTTTACGCCTTTCATCATCGTCTTCAAACGATACGGCCTTTATGCTCCGCTCTACCTCCCACTTGAGCCGAACATGACTTCATCCCCGGACCCTTTTGCGATGATGAAGTGGATGCATTGGGCTCCGGATTCACGCGGATGAGACGGCGAGAGGTGAGTCATTTTAATGTCTGGGAGCCTTGTGGTGATCCCTGGCCCCCGACAAGAGGCAGTGGAACAGTTGGTCATCTGGTGTGGGCAGAGATATCGCAGGCTGGCTGTAAAAGTGGTGAGAGTGAGAGACGCGGCCGGGTCCAAAAAAGCAAGTGGAATTCGTTTGATTGGCCACCGGTGAATGCTGAGCAAAGATGTTCAGGGATGTTAGCGAGAGTTTATGGGTTTGAAAGTAACCGGGGTGTTATTAGGTGGATGTGATTGGCATAAACTAGCCTAGTCTACCACAGACTGTACATAGATTCAATTCAGTGTATTTTTGTGTGGCCCTAAATCACAGCAGTAGTTATCTTTAAAAGCATCAACACAGATCAGAGAACCAAAATAGTTCAGACAAAGGAAATTAATTGATGAAAAAAACACACTACCATTGGTCTTTAAGGGGAAGATGTTGATAAAGTCCATTTAATGTTGTTGAATGTCTGGTGCCGTGGATCATCACCACTGTCCTTAGACCCTCCTGCATCGGCCAAAAAAAAACAAAGCCCCGTTGGGAAGTGCTCATAGACAAAGTGGCTCCAACTCACTCTGGTTCCTATTGACTTGCATTGAAAAGTGAACTCCTTTCGCTCTGTAACTGTGTCACACTCGACACTTTGGGAAGTAAAAATCTGTAATTTTATCGCTGACCTTTGATCCTGTTGGTTTTATTTGAATAATATCTTTATGAATATCAGATGCTTTCATTCGCAGGTGAAACTCCAGCTTGAGCGACCATCTCACTCAGTCGTCACTAATGCCCATATAAGGAAATGGACTTCTAGCTTTTGTTTGAATCAAGCATTTTTCATGTTCTTTGTGTTGTTTTGTACAGATTGTCGTTCTTATGGATTTTTTTATGTCCTCGACTTGGTTTTCTATTTGTGTGTCCCTTTGTGTTGAAAAAATAATGACCATGGCTTTCAATAAATATGGTTCCATATCACTACTTTTTGACGATCTGCGACTGGACCTTTAGACTTGACTTGAACACGTTATACAAACGAACTGGAAACTGGATTTGTATCACAGAATTATAAATGGGGTGGTGCACTTCTCAGAATCATCATAAATAAAAGCTCTTTTGAATTCATCCGTCTTTATTTTTCAAGACATGTCGGCAAGTTACACACATCCACGTTTTTACTGCAGGCTCACAACAGTGTAAATACTTTTAGATTAGCCTGATGATTAATATTTTTCACCGTTCACCTCGACCGCTTTGGAATATCCATACTCTGTTTACGCAGCGGAGTAAAAAGGCCATTAGCTGCAGGTGCATTATTTACATGTTTGAATGTTTAATACTGTATGTCTTCTATCCAGCATTGTGCACAAAAACGTGTGGATAGTAAGCGTGCAACCTGCAATGCATGAGTACAATACATGAGTAAAAGTACGGTACTTCCTGGACTATGAAGCACACCTGTATACTGTATAAGCGAAATTCTAATGGAAAGTAAAAATGTTCACATATACAGTAGGCCACACTTGAGTATTAGCCGCATATTTTCATGTTTTAATAACCAATAGCTGCTGGAGCAAAACAAAGCACTCTGGGAAATCTAATCTTTTTTTTGTCACTAGCATTCCTACTAAAACTTAATGGAGTGAAGTTGTGGATTTTGCTGCACTTCCTCGTGTCTCTCTCTGTTCACATAAACACGCCGGGAAGCAGGAATGTGTGCTGCGTCAACAGCTGATTAAGTTGTCCATATCTGTTCTTGCACCAAAGGAGGATATCTAAAAGTATAAATGCCTGTTACTTACATGGATCAGAATCGGATTTAATTTTTGTCTATTTCAGGAACTACAAATATGAGGGCACACTTTTCAAAGTACTAAATAATGACACAAATGATTAAAGAAAGAGTAATATTGATCTAAGAACTGCTGATGTTTAATGGGAATTTCAGATATAAGAAATAAGAAATAAAAGCCCCATGAAATCTTTCTGACATGGCTGTAAAATGGCATTTCAGTATAATATGTTATGATAAGCAAGCATTTCTTTGTGATAGGAAAAGGAGAGATTTTTTTTTTAATTTACATACACATGCCATATGTAAATGCATCGCTGTACATAATATTCACTGGCAATGCATACATTATACCATCATGAATACCACAGTGATAAGAAGTTATGGAAGATATGTTTTAAAAGGAAATCATGTATGCTGTGTATAATTTAGCGTGTATTGTCAGTGTTTCAGGAAAATATACATATCATAAAATGATTACTGTTATTTTGTGTGAACTGCAGCGTTTGCATAATTCAATGTTCGTGGAAATCAGGTTTTGAAAAGCGCATATCTTCAGGTGAAATGATCATTGGAACAGGCCCTTGACTGTGACACACACACAAACTAGTCACAATCAAATATGTACGCACACACACACACACTGGAGTCACAATAATGATAATAAGGCATCTGTTTTATATAGCGCTTTTTTGAACCCTCAAAGACACTTCACATATTATTCATTCACTCCATACAAGGTGGTGATAAACAACTACTGTAGCCACAGCTGCCCTGGGGCACACTGACAGAATTGAGGCAACCAGTATGTGCCATAAACCCCTCCAACATTTCACACACACGCGCACACACCAGACTCATTCTAGGCTATGTAGGTGAAGTGTCTTGCCCAAGGACACACCGACAGTTTGGCACTTTACAGCTGCAGCCGCCCCACTGTGGCACATTATGTTGCCAGAGGTCTCCCATCACAGTAAGCAAAGCAGGCCCTGCCTTGCTTAGATGTATAGGTCTGAGGGGATCTGGCGTTCACATGTAGGTATGGCCCCAATCAATATGTCTAGAACTAACAGTTAAGCATCTTTAGCAATAGGTCATTTAATAAAAAAATATAGTAAAAAATCTGGAACCTAAATGAGATGCACTTTTCCATGTGTATTACTTAAAAATATTGCATTCATTTTCAGAAAGTTTAATTTCTGTCTGCTGGTCACATGAATTATTAAATGGCATGAAAGTGAAGAATTGATTTTTCTGTTTCTTTGCTCACAAAGTCAATACTTTAGAAGAATCTTATATCAAAGCTGGGGTACACAGTATTCAAAACAAAAAATGGAAACTGCATAAAAACCTTGTTACTAGTTCCTCTCATGCATCTAATGTTTGGCCTCTGTCACAACTTCAAATATTTCAGACCGAAAAGTGGACTAACTTAATTCAGCCAATCAGCTCCCAGCCCAAATGTAATTCAATTTATTTTGTATATCGGCAGTCGCCTTGGAGGACTTTACAAAGTTGTCGATTGATAACTTTGTAAAGTCCAAACTCAAAGGGCTTTTTCTTACAGATATTCAAAACATTCAATTACCAGTAATACAAAGACAGTTTGTTGTGGCTTGATTTGTTCACATTTTATTTTTTAGTACTCTTTCTATTGACCAAAAAATATTATAAAAAAACTAGTTTGGTACCCTAGCTTACACATAAATGTCAGTCACTTTTTGAAATTGTCGAGAGGAAGCATTTCAAACCAGATCTGCCTCATCCTCAAATTGCCACTTAAGCTCGGGAGTGAAAAAAAAACTTTTCTATTCACATTAGGAAATAAATTAAAAATTACATAGATCAGAGTAAACGTGCAATTCAAAATGGAATGAAAAAGGATAAATGAACGTACTTTACTCCTGTAGAATGTCAAGACCTCGCTGCTTGTTTTGTGTGCCCCATAAAAGACCATTAGCTTCCAAGTGCATTATTTACATGGATGCATTTTTAATATGTTGGTCTCACACCGCTGAGACCATCCACCAGTGTGCTGTGTAGCAGAATATTCTAGACCGCATCACTTACTATCAGTGTCAATGAAATGTCTGTTCTTTTAATTTAAATATGTATATCATTTTTGTGTTTCTCATTGTATTTTGTGGTGACTGTGATGAAAATAGTAACAATGTTTGTAAGGACTAATTGTGTTTGTTTGCATCACACTTTTCATACCTGCTCCCCAATGTGCATAACAACATGGAATAACAACACATTCAAAAATAGGCTCGCATGCCAGTTTGAAAAAAAATAAATAATAATAATCAGACCTGTTGCGATGATGCAGTTCAATTTACAGGTAGCGTTATGAGAGAAGAAGGATTCATTGACAGATTTTACAAAAGGAACATAAGGTTGTGGCCTGAAAGTCTGAGTCTGTGGCCAAAAGCAAACAGGAAATTTACAAGGTGCCAGACATAAACAAGTACGGACTGAGCAATTTGGATTTCTTGAAGCAGTTTTTTTTGGTAGCCTTTTACCCATAAATTACATAAATAAATGGCGTTTTATGTCTGCGATCACAAGTATACATGCCAATGTTCTCAGCCGACATGCTGTCTCACTCGACTTAAAACTGATAATACGGTAATTCCCTCTGATTGGTGATCAGGTGGTTAAATTTGGTAATTTATGTTTTTACTTACTTATTTGACATTTATTTAACCAGATTAAAAAATCCACTATGAGTAAGAATCTTTTTCAAAGGGGCATTTGCAGCAGCACACACAGATCACAAAACATCAAGGTTACATTTCAAGTGCTTAAAGGCAGAGAACGTTTAATCAATGAAAGAAAACATACACTTGTCTTTCTCCTATATGTCAACATAGTTTTTAAAGTGTTCAGAGTGACCAGCTCTCGAGTGTTCCGTGAACCGTTTCAGCAAGTGTCAGACTGCACAATGCGTCACTTAATGACCTAGGATTCTAAATTTCACTGCAATAGTCACCTGTTTGCATCTCCTGTCTTTAGCACATCATGAGTGATCCTATTTTTGCCAAATGTGACAGGTACATTTTTACATTGTGAGATCAATAAAGTTTATCTTATCATATGGTCTTCTTTTTGTTATTACATGTTTGTTTGATAGGGACAGAACAAGAGGTGTTGTTACAAATAGCCGATGCCATGTTCATAAGTCATTCAGCTAACAGCTAAGACATAAAATACATTTACAGGTCGATATAAAAACACAGATTACACAGTAAAAATATATATATTATGTTAACCAGTCATATACTCTAATTACTGTCCTCTAATAGCTAAATAGTCAGTCAATAGAAAGTAATCTCAGAGAAGGGAACAGCTACTGCAGATAACACATTGATATTTTCAAAGTACAAACGTGTGCAAAAAATTTAACTTTAGTGATTTTTCCTAGTCGCCTTTAGCTGTCCCAAGCCATTCCTCTTACACCTATAGCAGATGCACGCCCGCCTACCTGCCTGCATGTGTGTACGTACCAGCGGCTCATCCCGACGCCCGAGGACAGCACCGATCCACAAAGAGAAGCACATGTGCCCAGAGCTGTGTGAGGAGAGGCGGTGGTCCTTCCCCCTGCAGAATCCCACAAAGCCAAGTGCCGAGGAGCCGCGCTGGTCCCGGGCAGATCAATTAGAGCCTCAGCCAGAGTGCAGCCACTATCTGGTCAAATACCTGGCAAAACATCTGACACGTGCACTTGTGTGGCTGCGGGCAACGGGCCTCCAGGGTCAGAAGAAAAAGCATGCAACTTCCACAGCTGTCAGACGGATGATCCACGACCCAGGACTCCCACAGGTGCTGGAAGTCCTTGAAAGTGTTGCAAATTTAATGGATTGTGTACTTTTGAAAGTTAATGTATGCTGATTCTTTTGTTGGAGGTAAATGGGTTAATTACACAAGAGTTGGCAGTGCCCTTAATACATCTTCTCTGCTTTACTGTCAAGCATCGGGCTTATCAATGCAGCTTAATGACACGGCGTGAGCATGTAAATAGGATATTTCCATGCCTCTATACTTGCAGAGAAAACCACTAATCAAGACGGGGTTTAGCTCGGTTATAGAATTTCTTGAGCGATCAAATTTCCAAACCACTAATAAGGAACTTCATCAAATCCATCTGAACAGCACCTCTCTCTCAAAACCTTTTCAGTCACTAAAAAACTGCTCCTAAAGTTTACAATTGAGGACCAACCTCAGCCCAAAGCATCAGACAGTGACCTACAAATAATAATAGAAAATATATATAACATGTTTTTCTGATTATATGAAGAGTATGTTCAGATCTGATTTGGTCACATTTTACTCTTAATTACTAATTTCTAGTAATACTTGTATACTATGTTTAATGCATTGTGACTATTATTTTAATCCCGTGCGTGTTTTTAATGTTTTACGTTTTTTAACGACCTGCTTTTGTTTTTTATGTATATGTAGATTTTAATATTTATGATTTGCTTGATATGATGTGGGTTGTGAGGCGCTTTGTGTTGTCTTGTGCAACACAAAGCGCCTTGTTGATTAATTGATTGATTGACAATATTATACCGAGAAAAACCTGAAATTTTTGCACAATTCATAAAGGGCGACTCAAAGTGCTTTACCAAACAGGAAGGGAAACCATGAATGAGTAAGAGCGTACATAATCACGGAACGTTCATTCATTTAAAATTATACGTGTGAAAATGTTTTAGTCGTGCCAGGATTTGAACAAAGTAGAAGCTCGGATTAGTTTCCGATCTTTGAACATTCATCTCATTTATAATCATATTCAAATGAATGTAAACAGGTTTAATAATGATATTTTATTGGCACCAAAATTAATTTATTCATTACCATCCAACATTTGATCATTAATTCATTCACAGGCGTTAGTTCTTATAGATATAATGATATGCTTTGAGTCTTGTTGTGGATGCATTCATTTTACCATTGCCACGACATGGGCCAGTGCCTTTGCTTTGCTTGTTTTGCCCCCCCCCCCCCTCCTTCTTCTTCTGATTTTGCATGCAACAACTTGAGAACTCCAAACAGGATGAAAGCGCCAGTGTAATTAGACAAGCATTCTGTTAGAGCAATTGCACATTACGGATGATCGAACCGCCGGCAATTTACTCCAGGCTTTAGCAAAGTGTAAATAATGTATAGTGCACATTCATAAACCACATGGCGTGAACAAGTATTTTTCTCATCGCAATATGTATTAAAATTACTTCTACTTGATGTGCACATATAAAGATGGAAAGGCGAAACAACTTTCATCATGCAGGCATTGGATTGTGTACTAATGCGTGCTGCCTCTAAACATCCACCGCTTTGCACCTGTGTGTCACTGCAACACAAAGAATGGCAGTCATTTTGAGCTCTCACTATAGACTGTGTATGGATGGACAAGGCTGACCCGCTAGCGGTCGGGTTCTGGCTTCAATTCCACCCCCTGGCCTTTCCTTGCATGTTCGCCCACGTGTCTGCGTAGGTTTCCTCCAGGTGCTCCGGTTTCCTCCAAGTGCTTCGATTTCCCCTACGCCTAAAAACATGTACAATAGGTATGAATGTATCGAGTGAATGAATGGATGGTGTTTGGTCGGAGGCTTTAATGTGTGTGTTCGGCGCCTCGCTTCCGTCATCACCGTGTATGGAGAGAATGGAAAAAATAAATCTGAAGTCTGAACATTGTAAAGCGCTTTGGGTGACAATGGTCTGTAAAATGCACTATACGAATAAACATTACTTATTTACTTACTCTGGTTCCTTTTGAATTGACGTTGAAAACTAGCCACTAGCTCAGTCACCAGTTTGTCCTCTGGTTTGTCCCCATTATGTTTTTTTATTTCATTTATTTTTTCTTTAACACTAGGAGCGCCCCTAGCGGTCAACTGACCGTCACTCACTTTATTATGCTAATTAGTGTATTCAAAACAAAACGCCAGAAGTTGAAATTTTATGACTTTTTCTAGGTACTTGTTGTTTATATTTTGGTGTGTTTTGGTTTTGGAAAAAGTAAAGAAAACAAGATTTACACGCATTTTAACTTTTCTAAACCACAGCCCTTTCTGCTTCCCCATGGAGATACATGGCGCAGGGGCGACTGTTGTCATAGTAACCTTTCCCGGGGGTTTTTCGCGCCTTATAAAAATGTATCAATATGTTGTCATTAGACTCTAAAGGGACTTTTTTATTATTATTTGGGAGAGAGAGAGGAGTACAAAATGAATAGAGCTGCGAGTACACGGTATGAAGCGCTGACAGTGCTTCAAGACATTGAATGAGAACAGTCTGACGGAGGTGAGAGATGTCACATTTTGAGGTAGAAAGTGACAGCGGGGAGAACACCTATAATATTCTAAATCTGAACGTAAACCCAAAGTGCATTCACGGCACGGACAGCAGTGTTGGAACAAGTCCAGAAGCAATAACGCACATGACCCGCGTAATGCCAGCCATACGCAGGTGTCTGTGTGCGCGCTGTCGCTCCATTCTGCCTTTTCATTCATCATCAATTACATTATTATATTTATACATACAAGAAGGCAATAAAGCAGAATACAATATCGTAATAAAATAGAACAATTCGGGCGTTCTGCTCTCCCAAAATTTCATCCACTGAGCGGCGCTGTGATCAAAAAATGACACCGTTTGTTGCCCAGTTCACTTCCGGTTGATTTCATACAATGGCGAATATGGCTCCCGAAAACAACAAACGATTGACAGTTCCTGAATTGCGTGACAGGTTGAAGCGAAAGGGTATTTGCAGTGTGGGAAAACGAAAGGAGGAATTGTTGTTGCTAGTTCAACGAGCGGATGGTGTTTATGAAGATTTAGAAGAAGATGACAGCGAGCAGAGTGAACGAAAACGGCTGTGTGTGCGAGTGACAGATGGTAACAATGAGAATGAAGTTCAGCTAAGAGGGAAGAATGTGAATTGGACGGATGATTTGCGCGATATGCCACTAGTTAGACGGGAATGTATTTGCATAATGTAAAATGACGAAAACACTCAACCATTTAGAGAAAATGCGCCGGGCAGAGAGAACCGGAAGTTGCGAAGGCAAGTGTTACCCATAATGCAACGCAAAATTCAGTCGCTCCCCCGCCCATCGGATGGAATTTTGGGAGAGCAGAACGCCCGAATTCGATGAACTATCAAGGCAGAGTGCAGATCAGAGTGCTCGTCACCCGCGGACACTGCAGGAGGAGAGCGACTGTGGGGCAGAAGCGGCCCTCATATATCAATAAGGATATAATTCTTATTTCATCCAGATAACACTGTGTGTTATTCTGCACAGCGCGCACTGCAAGGCAATGATTATAATTTTGTTCTGAGCATAAAGAGCACTGCTTGTCTCAAATAAATACAAATATATATATACATATATTTGTCTTTCTAACGTGTCTCGTGTAAAATTGAAGATTTTACATTGACGATGGTAGCCTAGCTGATGATCTTGTGTCAATACGAATAATATTATTATTATCTAGATAATATTTCCCACGGTGATTTTGGCTGGAAAGAGCAAACAGTCTGGAGATGACGTAAGAAGTAGACGCATATAGCAGCGCGAAGACGTTATGGTCCCGTGCTTTTCTAAACTATCATTTATATTGTTTGAATTTACATATTGTTACTGAGTCAAATATAACATATAGTGACCAACCTTTTAGGTGTTTGCAAAGTTACAAAATAAATCTAGCCTGAAAAGTCATCGTAATCTTGATGGATCAGTACACGCACAATGTGTCGTCTTAGCCTTTTATTTCGTCTAGAATTACAATTACTTAGCATATTTAGACAAATAATTTACACAGTTTCATTATGATCACGATTCCTTTGCAAAATCAAGTTCTGGTTTAGTGAACAATCAATTTGGCAAAAGGCTGTATCAGCGCAAAATACATAGCGGTCAACTGACCGCAGGGGGCGATGCAAGGTATGTTTAGAGCACGGCGGTCCTAGTGTTAACAGGGAAAAAGGGGAAAATTCCAAAGAGTCCAGCAAAACAAGGGGTTGAAAGAAGACAAATTATAGATAAAATTTACACCATTATGGGTAAAAAAAAAAAAAAAAAAAAGCTTTATCTTTCAAAATATTCACACATCTCCACAACGTCTTGGTGATTCCGTACCTGACAGTACGGACTGTTGTGGAATCTTCTTCAGATGGGTCACATGATGTTCCTGTGACGTGTCTTTTCAGCTGTTTTACACACATTTTGGCGCTGTCTTCCTACCACTAGAGGCAAGATGACAGCGCCATCTCCAGTACAGAATCTCAGGTGTATGAGAGTCAAACATCCCCCTCGTCCCGGTTTATAGTCCTTGGGGTACTTTTCCGTGATTAAAAAACAAACAAAAAGAAGCTAGTTGTTGAAATTTCAGGCATGAATTTGGAAAAGGCCTGATATTTACAGGGGAAATAAGCCTCCTCCCTCTGGTGGTAGCATAGGAAATTACGGACGGAGCACATAGACAAGATATCATTTCACAATCTAAAACTTTAAATTACGGACATTTTTGAGCTGTAAACAGACAGTTATGAAAGTAAAATAATTATGACATTGTATTCATACCTATAGGGAAAAAATACAGTAAAAAGTAGTAGTTATTTGGAGAGATTCAGATTGCTTGGAGGGTCTGATTTGCTAGCAGAGCCGCAAGTTGATTAGGTCTGTCCTTCTAAGGGACTTTTGAGACAACTTAGCAATTAGCATATTTTGGCACGGCTCAATGTTGCCTTCACAAGTCTCCGTGAATACATCTGCCATCCAGAACTGCATTGACAGCCTAATGAAACATGTGACATTGAAGTCATTTTTAAGCGCACTCAAAAAGCTGTTGTCCTAAATTGCGTTATCAAGGGCTAATGTCGATGTTGTGTTCTTGTATATAGCTCTTCCGTGTTCAGCGCTTTGATGTAATTATGTCTTTTTCCCTTATGCCTCCCAATCTGTTTTTCATCATCATTATGCTTTTCAGTAATGAGCACTCCACTCTCTTTTGAATAAAGAAAACATGCTATTTGGCACAATGGAATATTTAGTTGCGTTATATGTCCTTGGATGGGTTTCTCCTCTGCTTGAAAGCCTGAATACAATTTACCGTGTTTTTTTTGTGAGACAGGGGTTGGAGAGGGATGGTGGAAGAAAGGAGGCGCAGCAGGGGTGGAAGGACCTGAGATGGGGTAAGCCTTGTTGTCCTGCCTGAATTATTTAGCACATGTGGGGTTTAGTGGGCGACGCCAACTCCAGACAACATGGGAAGAGACACACTAGCATGTTTATAAGTGGCTCTGTACTTAAAACCATATATGTATTTCAGTAAGTTCAGTTTATGTGCGTTTTGTGTACTTTTGCTGCGAGGCCCTATCATTTAAAGGTAGTTATACATGTAGTCAATGTGTAACTACTAGCAGTTTTGGGTGGAATACTTTGAAAAGGTATTCCGTTCCAGGATACTGAATACGTAAACCTAACATGTATTTTGTACAAGGCAGTATTCAGTTACTTTAGAAAATGTAGTACCTGTATTCCGAATACTTCTATTTATACTTTTAAATTATCATTGTTTTTATTATTTATAATTATTGCACTTTTTTTTAATCAATACATGTTTAAATATAAAAATGCCAAAACATTAAATTGTGTTGTTTTTTGAGGTTCAACAGCTGCCATTTAACAACCAGAAAAAATAGAATCTTCACTAATACGTAACATTTAATTTTTTGACCTTAAAACGCAATGTGAAAAAGTATGTAATCCTGTGGTTTTCAGAAAGTAACAGTATTCTAAATACTCAACTTTAAAGTAGAGTAAGAAAGAGTATTTTGACTAAGTAACGGATTATTTTTATTTATTAAAAAAAAAGTACGAAAAAGTATTCTGAATGTGTAATGGTGTTACATGTACTCTGTTACTCCCCAGCACTGGCCATACTCACAATAAAAAGTCTTGTCTTCTTTAAGTGGCGGAACAATATCTATATAAGTAAGTAAGTAAGTAAGTAAAGTTTATTTGTATAGCGCCTTTCACAGACCAGGGTCACAAAGCGCTTCACACATTAAAATACAAAATACACATACAAGTCAGATAAAACAAACACAGAAAACACAATTTACATTCACAGAGGCCTATGAACAATGTGTCGTCCCCTTTGGCTATGAGCGGCTCTCTGCTCCTGGCGCTGACGGCTCCTTGGATGGCGTTTCTTCAGCCGGTTGCATCTGAACCCTGCCAAGTCTCTTATCGTCGTTTTATTGTTTTATCGGTGCGTGTGTGTGTGTGCGCGTGTGTGTGTGGGGGGGGGGGGGGGGGGGGGGGAAGAGGGCATGGGCAGGATTGTTTTTTTAGCCAAACTGTAAAGCACTTTGTGTTGCATTTGTTGTATGAAAAGCGCTTTATAAATAAACTTTGATTGATTGATTGATTGATTGATAAGGGTGGATCAGGCCCTGGATGTATTCAGGCGCCTGACCATGAAGGGCCCTAAATGTCAGCACTAGAATTTTAAAATGTATTCTGTGTGAGACAGGGAGGCCTTCAAGACAGGGGTAATGTTGGCTCTCCTGTGGGTGCGGGTCAAAAGCCTTGCATGAATTAAAGAAGCTATACCCGATTTCCGATACCCGAGTCTTAGCGGGACGCTCATTCTCCTCCACTCACAGAACAAGGAGCGAACAGCCTGCGTCCTCTAGCCCCTACAGCGCTGCTTAACACCAGGGCTTCGACTTCAAAATTCGAATATACATAATTCTAAAATAAATAAAAAATATATATATTTGAATAAATATTAGACAGCCCTTATAATTCGAAATGTATTTAATGACTGCAAATAAAATAGTTAGCTCCCAAAGGTTTCACCGGGACATGCTAGCTAGCTGTTTCATGGTAACTTCCGGGTTTTTCGCGATCGCTTTTTGTCACATTAAAACAGTATTTTTGTCATGAAAATGTAAACAAATTCTGAAATTGTCCGTGCATGTGTGTTAAGGATGTTTATGTATACTGTATTGTCCGATTAACGTTTAATGGTGTTGATTGATTGATATGTATTTGTTTATTGAGCGTGGCTAGCTCCGCTAGCTTCTCTACACAGACAAGTGTGCAGAGAAACTGCACAGTGTAGTGACCATAGACTGTATATATTAACGGACAGAGTCACGCCTATCTCCGCCGTTCTAACTAATGGGCCAAAAAATGTGCTCTACTGGAGCTATCCAAAATGGCCGCGAGTGGTCCTTCCTACAAGAAAATTGCGAAAAAACGCCTCTCAGAATCAGAATCAGAATCATTTTTATTGCCACGTAAGTAACAGGAGGTCACAGACTTGGAAATTGCTTTGGCTCAGTGCAACAGTCAAAAAGAGATAATAAAAATAAGAATAAAAAAACACTTCTAAAGAATAAATTTAAATTTAAAATAGAGTTACAGTTACTATTTACAATATACAAGTGCACATGGTGCACACAATGTAAGGTGACAGCAGTACAGTGAAGTAAAGTGACGTATGATGGGCAGTAAAGTGACTTTATAAAGGGCGGGGGGACAGGTTAAGAAGTGTTCAAGAGTCCAACAGCAGAGGGGAAGAAACTGTTCTTGTGGCGGGAGGTTCTAGTCCTGATGGACCGCAGCCTCCTGCCTGAGGGGAGTGGTTGGAATAGTCCATGTGCAGGGTGAGAGGGGTCGGCTGTGATACGACCAGCCCGGCCTCGAGCTCGGGCGACGTACAGGTCCTGCAGCGATGGAAGGCTGCGGCCGATCACTTCCTCTGCAGAGCGCACAATGCGCTGTAGTCTCTGTTTGTCCCTGACTGTGGCTCCAGCGAACCACACGGTGACGGAGGAGGTGAGGATGGACTCGATGATGGCCGTGTAGAACTGCACCAACATCTGTGCAGGCAGCTTGGCTTTCCTGAGCTGCCGCAGGAAGTACATCCTCTGCTGGGCCTTCTTGATGAGGGAGCTGATGGTCGGCTCCCACTTGAGGTCCTGGGTGATGGTGGTGCCCAGGAAACGGAAGGACTCCACAGAGGTGATGGGGGAGTCCATCACGGAGGGTGGGGGCGGGGGGACAGTGCTCTTCCTGAAGTCCACAATCATCTCCACTGTCTTCTGGGCGTTCAGCTCCAGGTTATTACCACTGCACCAGGACACCAGCCGGTCCACCTCCCTCCTGTAGGCGGACTCATCGTTGTTGGAGATGAGTCCAATGAGGGTGGTGTCGTCCGCGAACTTGATCAGCTTCACGGAGTCGTGGCTGGAGGTGCAGTGGTTGGTGTCCATGGAGAAGAGCAGGGGAGAAAGAACACAGCCCTGTGGGGCTCCTGTATTTATAATCCGAGAGTCCGAGACATTCTTCCCCAGACGCACTCGCTGCTTCCTGTCCGTCAGGAAGTCAGTGATCCACCTGCAGGTGGAATCGGGCACGTTGAGCTGGGAGAGCTTGTCCTGGAGCAGGGATGGCAGGATTGTGTTGAAGGCAGAGCTGAAGTCCACGAACAGGACCCTGGCGTAGGTCCCCGGGGAGTCCAGGTGCTGTAGGATGTGGTGGAGGGCCAGGTTAATGGCGTCGTCTACAGATCTGTTGGCTCTGTAGGCGAACTGCAGGGGGTCCAGGAGGGGGGAGGTGAGGGACTTGAGATGGGAGAGAACCAGGCGTTCAAAAGACTTCATGACGACAGACGTAAGTGCTACAGGTCTGTAGTCATTGAGTCCTGTGATCCTGGGCTTCTTCGGGACGGGGACAATGATGGAGGATTTGAAGCAGGCCGAGACATGGCAGGACTGCAGAGAGGTGTTGAAAATGTCCGTGAACACAGGAGTAAGCTCACTGGCGCAGTGTCTCAGAGTGGCCGGAGACACATGGTCCGGGCCAGGAGCTTTGCGGGGGTGCAGCCTCAGGAAGAGTTGTTTAATGTCTTTAGAGGCTATTGTCAGGCTGGGGCCAGGGTTGATGGGTGGGTCGTTAGAGTAGTGGGGGGTGGGGGAGGGAGAGGTGTCAGGGGCAGCATCAAAGCGACTGAAAAATAAGTTCAGTTCGTCAGCTAGCTTGTGGTCGTCAGCACAGGGGGGGCTTTGGGTTTGTAGCCGGCTGCGCATGCGTCAGCCGGCGCAGCTCCATTCATTTGAACGAGAGACTTGAAAAATTCACAGCAAGTAAACTAGAGTGGACCAAAAATATTCACTCCCCTCAGCATTGACACACATGTGGAACGGAGCTTTGGGCCAACTTTTGGACCATCCTGTAAAAACGTTTTCGAGAGGTCTGCCAACGCTATATGTTAGCATTCGCTAATTCTTCTTCTCGGTCCACCCCCATCGGCCCGGGGGGGTATTGCAAACATGTCAGCGCACGTCATTTTGGCCACTTTTGAGCTGGGACCCGCCCCCACTGGTAGTGACAGGCGCTAATAGCTTGTTCTACGTGCAGAATAACGGCAGTATTTTACACACCTGAATTACAAACAGAGATCGCATTGGGGCTGCGGTCATTATTGGTTTGAGAGTTTTGTTATCAAGAAAAAATGATCGGAAGAATTGCATTCAAGTCAATGGAGTGCTGCTGCTGTGAGGAGCTGTATAATAAATAAATTATAATTAAACATTAGAATATATTCTAATGTTTAAATTAATACATTCGGACACGAAACTAGCGGTATTCTTTTACCTATATATTGTGTTAGCAGTGCGTTGCTTTAGTGCCATTTCATCAGTGATTGTTGTACGGCTTACAAGAAGTTGCGCTAATGCTAATGTTAGCATGTTATCAGATCGCAAATAAAACTAGGTGGCTCTGTGGGATGAGAGCGTAGGGGAAATGAGAAGCCATTGAGCGAGTTGGGGGGCGGTGCTAAACATTCAAACATTGCAGAAATGGGTATAGCTCCTTTAAACGTATGAGGAAAGAGCTAAAGAACATTTGATAAAAGAAGCTAATGAATTGTAAGTAAGTAAGTAATGTTTATTTATATAGCGTATTTTATAGACCAAGGTCACCCGAAGCGCTTTACAATGTTCAATTGTGCCAGCGTCAATAGGTCAAAGATTAAACCCGCAAGCACCCTGTAAGTCCAAATCCAAGCTTTGAGGTTGTTTACACCGTTAAGTATTATCATGGACAATGTCAGTTTGTAAGTAATCTTTATTTATATAGCGCCTTCCACAGACCAGGGTCACAAAGCGCTTTACAATTGTGGGCATTTGTCTCTCACTCCATACATGGGAGCGGGGTCGCCACGCCAGACCTAATATATGTATTTTTAGTGGTAGGGGAAACCGGAGTACCCGGAGGAAACCCTACACAGGCACGAGGAGAACATGCAAACTCCACACAGAAAAGCCTAGAGCTAGAATCAAACCCAGGACCTTCTTACTGTGTCCTATTACTTACTTACTGTGTTGGTTAGGGTTGGTTGTGAGTAATGAGTAATCTATTTAAGGTAAAGGAGGGAGCACATAACTCCGGTGTTAAAATCACTCCACTGGCTCCCTGTGGAGTACAGAATAAAGTTTAAAATCCTTCCTTAACATATAAAGCCATAAATGGCTTGGCTCCTTCCTATCTCCAAGACACGTTAGTGTCGTATCAACCAAGTCGAGCATTGCGCTCACAGAGCGCCAGACGTCTGGTGGTTCTTAGGGTCTCAAAAATCACTGTTGGTGGCAGAGCATTTAGCTACCAAGCTCCTTTACTGTGGAATCAGCTTCCCATTTATGTTAAGGAAGCAGATACTGTCTCCACATTCAAGGCCAGGCTTAAAGCACTCTACTTTAATTTAGCATATAATTAGGTAATATATAATATATGGTGTATATATTATATATATATGCTGTATTATGTTATATATTATGTTATATATTATACAATAATGTATTATGTTATGTATTGTGTTATGTTGTATATTATGTTATATATTATGCTGTATGTTATGTTGTGTATTATATACAATATATGTGGTATGTATGGTATATGTGATATATATGATCTATAATATATAATTAGGTTTGCTTGGATCGGTTTGCACACCATGAATCTTGGTGCTGTAACCTACTGTAGACTAGCCTAGCCGTGGCTGCTGCTGCTGTCTCACCTCCTTCCAGATACGCTCTCTTTATTCAAGGCTAGGTTTAAAACAGTCCTCTTTAGTTTAGCATATGGCTAGGAAGGTAAGACTCTGGGAAGGCTAAACTCCTCAGACTGTCAGTCAAGCTGCATAGGGAGTCAGTTTGCTGGGAGACGTATGGTAACTTGAGCACTATCCTCTCCTCCTTCCTACTTCATCTGTTTAGCATTATTAGGATTTTGACTGTAGTTTGTTCATTGCTATTCACCCGTTGTCCCATTGTCTGTTTCATGGTACGATGACGGGATCTCTGAGCCTGGCCTCCTCCATCTACACCTGCGGACTGCCCCGCCCGGCCCGCCTGGGAGTGCTTCGGTCCTGCACCGGACCTGTCCACGTTCAGCGGCCGCTGGTCCACGTTCTGTAGCTAGCTTAGGTCCTAGATCATTAGCCTGTCCGTCCGGAGGAGCGGATCCCTTTCTCATATGGGTCTCCCTCCCTGTGGGTTTCCCTAGTTCTCCCCAAGGTTTCTCACTTTTTCCCACTGGGTTTTTTAAGAGTTTTTCCTTGTCGATGCAGGAGGGTCTTGTTGGACAGTTAGTGTCCAACAGAAAGGAGTGGTGATGATCAGGACACTTTAGCATTCTACAACATGTATGGACATTTTCTTCTGTGTGTGCTTTATATTTTTCATGTGTTTTAACTGTTGATTCTCTGACCTGTGTTGGTGATTTTAATGGTTTTGTTAAGTCCTCTGAGATGACTTCTGCTGTGACCTAGGGCTATACAAGAATAAATTGTATTGTATTGTAATTGTATTGTAGGTAGTTACTTTGGCCTCTGCGGTTACTGTTTCCGTTACTCTCAGTACATCTCGGTGATCCTTACTCCTATCACAGTATTCAAAGACAATGGATTCATTCACAGAGCTATCATTGATTTAAAGCGTTTTGGGACAAAAATAAAGGTCCATTGGGTAAAACAAACTGATTGACATTAGAGCGGACCAATCAGAAGCAGTTTCTCTGTTCAAACAAAACAAAAATCCACAGACACAAAAGATGAGCTATCGACACATTTCCACAAACGCAAAAGAAAACTCTTGACATTCAAACAAACAAACAAATGCATCCTTCTCTTCTGTTCAGTTTATCAAATGCATCCAATATTTTTCATTTTAGAACAGAAGAAGCGTTCACAGTGTTAGTTGAACATAGCAGCTATAATTTGCAAGGGTGTTTTTTCCAAATAAAATTATAACTGTGTGAAAATGGATTTGGCTTTCCACAATAGGCCGATACCAAAGAGTGGCCCCCTGGAGAAAATAATTGCCCAGCCCTGGTGCAGCCTATAGAAATAAAGTGGTTCAGATACCTCCAACAGTCATTTAATTTTGTCTATATTGAAATTAAATGACAAATATGAAATGTGCACTTTTATTGTCCCCTTAGGGAAATTTGTCCTCTGCATTTGACCCATCCTGCAATGGCCTTTTATCAGGAGCAGGCAGAGGCATCCCTTACTATAAGGCAAGTCAGGCAGCTGCCTGGGGCCCCCAAACCGGCAGGGGGCCCCCGAGGGCCGACTGATTTGACACAAGCGGTCGACTTGTACAGGCTACTACAGCTACCTGATGCAAAACTTGCCACGTTCTTTATAAACAGTTGAGAATCCTGTCTGGGGACAACTATGTATTGAATCTAACAGCAGTGGTTAAGTTGTAGTACTTGTGCAGTGATGATCTGGGTTCAAATCTGGTAGTCTTCTGTGTTTTGGATTAAACTATATATTTTATTCTATGACTCATTCATTCATTTTCTACCCCTTTATTAGTCCATTTCTGGGTCGAGAGGGTGGCAATGAGAAATGCCAAAATGAGTCCACAGGAAGATGGCTGCTACATCAGTGATGCCATAGCCTTGGTGTTTCAGCGGGGGCTTCAGGCAAAGTGGGGTTAAGTGTCTTGCCCAAGGACACAACGACAGCAGACATTGTTGGGAGCAGTTGGAGTAGGTCCCGAGGTGGGCTCGAACCCATGACCTTCCAGCTCAAAGGCCAATGCTCAACCTTTTTTTTTTTTGCAGATTAAAGATAAGAGCCTAATCTTTGATTAGGCCCACGGTGTTTATAAACACAGGGCCAAATGAGAGATTAGATTTTGTAGTATTAATACACTTTGATAGTAGTAGTTTTTGTAATTAATTATAACAGAGTGTAGTG